GTCTAACAGGGATTATTTACGACAGACAATTATACATTCTAACCATGTAGTTGGTAAGAACTTTCTTGGTCTCTCCTAACCTAAGTCATTTTCGGCCAGATGCGTCAGATGCGTTGTTTTCAACAGCGATCTCACCTCTGCAAGCAGTGTGAAGACAAAACTCCTGTTTGTTGCCACAAGTAATTTCCATGAAGCGGGCATACTGTGGCATAAGACCTACTTTGTGCAGCTGGCGAAAAAAGGTAGAGCAGAGAACAAGCACATGAGGTAGTACGCCAAATCTAGGCCGGACACGAAAAGTACATGTCCAGCGCTCTGATTCTCCTCGAACGCCTTCCACTCAGGATGATTGTTGAAAGCATCATTAAATTAGAATACACGCAGGCAGAAGGGATTACCAATAAATTTGTTATGTCAAAGCTGCCGAAGAGAAGAGGCAATCGCACACTTTTTTTGCCACTGCAACCTAACCTTTTTATCTTTTTGTTTGTAGAATGCGATACCCTCTTAAGAAGGCAAAACAGACCGTTAATTACAAACTTTAGGTTCAATTTCTGGTCTTACCAACAGCCATTAATTTGTTTCTAATAGCAGTCGCTGCCAAACAGGACAGTCAAACCTTTGATTGGAATTCTGCTTTGAAAAAGCTTCTCAAATGAACCCATTTGTACTTTGGTAGGTTCTGTTCTAGTAGAAGGCAAGTTGTGCTTATTTTTATACATATTGAGGTTATTAAATAATAAAAACGTATGTAGTCTTGCGGTATTAGAGTCCTTTAATTTACCTCTTCCCTTCAGATAATATTTAACTAAATATTTACTTTTTTCAACGAGTCATAAATTAAATGCGCACGGCCCAAAAAGCACAAGTATTCCTTCTACAGTTCTCTCTCTTCTACAGAATTAGTTTAGTTTTTTATGCTTTATACGGCCTTCCTTTAGCTGGCATCCTTTATAAGTCCGCTTTCTTGCTTTCTTTTAATTAAAAGCAATTATTCCATGTCTCTTGTGTCGCCGCATTTCCCCAGACTGCGATCAGGGTGAAAGTGTGTGACACACAATTATGCAGCGATTATCTGTTTGTATGTAAGTGCGGGTATTCGAGACTGTGAAAATTTACAAATTCACACACAGCGAAGTAGTTAGAGAAGGCGCAGGCGCGGGTTGACCGTCACGACGGGACACAGCGATTTTGTGTGGCGACACTGCAGGACAAAGCAAAGATAACGGTCAACATAAGGCCATCAAGGCTTACACAATACCGCTGGACAAGGGCATGTAAGTGAGGAGATGTGGAAAAGATTCGAAACGCAAACGAAAACAGAAGGCCCCCAGTAGCGCAGTTAGAATATAATGTAGGGCACGAAATTGTTATCAAATTTCCAATTACATGACCACAGCGGCTCTGACAATTCAAAGCCAGCGAGTGGTTTTCNATGTAAACACAAATATTCACACTTATGTGCAAGCGTCAGCAATTTAGCACAGTTTCTGCATTGTTGTTACCAACTATAAATCCTTTTTTGTTAGTTTTGTTGTTTTCTCTTAGGACTTTGTTTTTGGTTTTGTGCGTATTGTTTTAATTGGCTGTGGTATTTATAGCTTGGCTGCGGGATAATTTCAGTCATTTGTTGAAAGCCAGATGTGATAATGACACCTCAAGCAAGATAAATAAATAGTAGAATAGGACTAAAATATTACATTATGTTGATTGACTTAGACTGTAGATGAGTGATATGGAAGTGTTAATCAGACGAATAATTTATATAAAATTTGTGGAGCGTTTAAAAAGAGTTCCTTCTTGCTAAACACTACTGAAATAGCTTTGAAAATATGTTGAGGTAAAAAATGATCGCATCTGCGGAAGGAAATGGGCTATTCCAACAAGGTAATGTTCACTCAGCCATGGTATTCTATAGATTAAGCCCTCTTCCACTACCTTCCAAACCTGAAAAGTGGCTCAATGGTAGGAAATTTAGATCGAAAGAAGTGGTTATTATTTAAACAACTGCCTATTTTGTGAACCTGGAAAAACCTTTTATTTGGAAGATATAAAAAATTGTAAAAACGCTGAACTAAAGGTATCGATCTAAAAACAGCGACATGTTTTGCGAAAAAAATGCTTTTTTTTGCAGTAAAGGATGTATTTTATTGAAAACTAGCAAATACCCGGCTGGCTTCACTGCACCTTAAAAGTATTTTTGTGTTGTTATAAAATAGATTTAAGGAGCTTAATGAAGTGAGATTTTCAAACAAATTTTCGATTTATGAAGCATTCTTTATTTTTTACGAATGTGGGTATTTAAAAAGTAGATAAAGTAACGAATTTCTCCTGGATATTTAATTTATAATGTTATAACCGGAGTCTACATATCGCGATTTATTTCAAATGTGTAATAATTCAAATATACCTTATCTTATCAATATAACTGAATTAAATTTTTCAAATAGTTGGAAATCCGTTTCAAAAATATTTTCGACAGTACGACTTTCTTAAACCTTTTTTGTTTAATACCAATATTGTAATAATTCATTTATTTTATCAATTTAAATGAATAAAATTTTTTCAAACAGGTGGCAACTCTCCTCAAACAGTAAACTTCCCAAACCTCTTTAGTTTGATACCCATATCAATTAAATTACATATATTTATTAAAATTTTCAAACAGGTGTCAACCTACCACCCAAAAAATTCGGCTATAGACCTTCGTAAACCTCTTTCTTTCAACAGCCATGTTACAATATTTACTTAATCTGGTCAATTTACTTAAACTGTAATTTTGAAATAGGTGGCAACTCTCAAATTATCATTTCTATACTTTAAGTTAGACCTCTAGCAATCAGGGACATAACAGTTATAAGTTTTATCGGAAAAACGTTGTTCCATAACAGTTATTAGATGAGAAAATATTTTTTATATCATCAATAAGAGTTATAATCCAACGTTTAATTTTTACGTTGCCTGATACATAACTGTTATGCAGGAGAAATATGTTTTCCGTCGCCAATAAGAGTTATTACCCAACGTTTATTTTTTATGTTGCTTGATAACAGTTATTACCCAACGTTTATTTTTACATTGTCTTATAACAGTTATTTCACTCCTCCTCTTTTATATTCATCACCTTTATCTTCTTCTCCATCTCCATTTTCGTCAATATTTTTATCTTACAACGTTTATCAGACAACGTAAAAAATAAACGTTGGATAATAACTGTTACTAAGCAAAGTAAAAAATAAACATTGAGCATTAACTCTTATCGGCGAGATATCAAATATTTTTCATCTAATAACTTTTATGAAATAACATTTCCGTTAAATTTCAGAATTCGGGCAAGTTTTTTTTTTTGGTCCCTGCTAGCGATACATCGGTGAAAACGAATGGTCATGGAAGAAGGATTTAGGAAGGAGGAAAAAACTAAAAAAAAACCATTTCAGCTGTAAGCTTTTCTCTTTCCACCACTTCAAACAATTATTCCATTAAAGCTTCTCACACTTTTGCTCTGCCACTTAATCCACCGTCATTAATTACGTATACGCCACATAGACGCAGCGTGCGAAATATTTGAATATAAATACATAAATAAAGAACATTTCACATAATTAAAAGCGTAGGAATTAAATGGGCATTAGTACATAAATAAGCGTGGGTTACTTAACATGAAATGTCCTATGGCCTCAGTTCAAGTACAAAAAAAAAGTAACAAATGAAAGTGAAATTACAAATATTTTACACTTTTACCTTTACATGTTTTTTGATTGAAAATGTGAATTTGCATTTTTTTGCAACAGTAAATTACAATTAAAAATGCATGCAAATATGGAAATAAGGAAAAATACATATCTTAAAAAACGATTACTGCCATTTAAAGGAAATCGTGGAGGAGCCGGCAAACTACGCGAGATCCACCTTTAACTTTCTTGATTCTAAAAACATTGACTTTGTGCCAAAGATAGTGAGTCCGTCACAGTGGTCCACAGTGTCGGGCTATTGAGAGGTATTGGGCAATAGTTAAAATCAAACTATGAAATATGTACCAAGGAAACTGCCAAAAAAGAAACGGCTGTCGACTTGAAATGGAACAGGGCCACAAAGCAGGTCAATGGCAGTGCTCAAGGCGCATCAGTACAAGGTAGTGTTGATTGAACAGCTAATCAGGATATTTTTGTCTCTACACTAGTATAGGAGAATGTCATCCAAGACGAAATGGCGCAACTTTAGGATGTCAACAAAATGAAATGACGAACATTATCTCCTATTCTCTTTCGTTTTGACGGGACTTTTACTTATATGCAAGTGCCGCCACCTTGTATGGGTGCGCCTTGGCAGCGCTGTCGTAAGGTTGATGACGAATACATAACGAAAACAGTTGCGAAAGGAGTGTGAAAAATGTGATATCCAAAAAGTTTCCTTTGTGAATAATATAGAGTAAAATATGTTATGTTACAACTAAAAAATACTACCAGCCCACTTATTTTTACTGCTTAAAATTCTCAGGTTACGTTCGGTTCAATCCTTACATTTGATTACTGATAACTTTTCATTAACTTTTTAGCTTCTTATTAACCGACTTCCAAAAAAGGAGGAGGTTATCAGTTCGTCGGAATATATTTTTTTTTTTTTTTTTATGTATGTTACCGCATAACTTTGCACCACGTCAACCGATCAATAATTGCAGGAAAGTATATTCCCATTTGGTTTAGATCCGATCATTGGATCATGAAATATATAGATATATATATATTTTTTAAGTCGGTTTTTTTTTTTGCTAAAAATTACTTGTTTTAATGTGAACAAGTTGACCAATCAAGAAATAACAAAAAAAAAAAAAACAGTGCACACATACCCAAATGTAGTGCGAAATAACTTAAAAAAAAAGAAAAAATGTGCAACCAACTTGAAACACTGCCACATAATTGCTAAAGTATATTTATTCTAAGTAATGTTTCTTTCACAACTTTGTTGGAAAAGTTTATTCAATGCAAAGCATTGCAACTTACCCGATCGTACAGTGAGAAAACTTTTTCGATGTCCTCTTTTGTCAGCTTAGCGGCACCCTATTGTATGCAATTGCACGGGGATATGTTGCCAAAGCACCCGAGCGTCAGAGTTGTGCGCAATTGTTGAGGGTCACAATGGAGTAATGGTTGGCGTTGAGTAGAGTAATGCAGCAGGGAGTTAGTTGGTAATATAAAAAGAGAGAAATGAAGTACACAGTGAGTTATTGTTAAATATTTATATTCATATTATTTAAATATGTATATACATATATTTAAGCAACTTTAGGAAACTTGAAATACATTTTTGTATCAACGAAGAAATTTGTGTAACAAACCTTTCAAATTTACAAAGTTAATGTATGCATATACATGGTATGTATGTATGTTTAGAAATTACAAAAGTATCTAAATATGTAAAAATTGTGCGAGAAGAGCTGCTGCTGTTTTGAATGAATGCGAATATGTTTCGTTTCGTTTTCTGAGTATTTAATAAATGAGAATTTGGTAACTGTGTATGTATATGATTATATAACCTTTTAATTTCTAAACAAATTCGTTATTAAGACGATAATTTAGGTATGTGTTTCTATTTTATATATTTTCTGAATTAAAATTCTGTTCTGCATTGAAGGCAGCTTTAAGTATCTATTAAATTCACTTATGTAAAGTTATTTATTCTAAGCACATTGAAGTATGCTCCTTTGAATGGCTTTCTCTCTTATTCCCTTGCGAAAGTTGCGCGGTGCCGTCTCATTGTCAAGTAAAATGACAAAAAGAAAATTGTTATTCACTTTCTGCATTAATTCAACTACTTATGTACATACATATGTATATATGTACAAACTTTTTTTATATACATATGTAGGTGTGCAACCGGAATATATGTACATTGGGGTGGTCCAAAATTATTTTTCAGCCGCTCCCAGTACTCGAGAATATTGAAAATAAGAACACATTTATTTTTTAGTTATTTTGAAATCGGCTAAAACCATGCCATCGGGCTTTGGAAGTTTTCCGTATATTTCACATAATACAGTTTTTCGTAGAATGCTAAAAAATCATTAAAAATAAATACCCTTTTTGATGTTACACTTCAGAAATCTTCAAACAATAAAATTATACTGCATGGCTATATTCTAGTCGATTTCAAAATAAAAAATATGGATGTCTTTATCTTCCATATTCTATAATTCTGGGGAGCGGCACCAAGAAAATTCCAAAAACTTGAACTGCTTGATTATTTTCTTATTTATTTATTTATTTTATTGCATTTGATAAAAGTAATAAATTGAAAACATGTTTTTGAGGTAGAAGATGTGCTCACATTCTAGACTAAATTTATTATTATTATCTCTAAGGTTTAAGAGGTTTTACCAAATCCATCCGTCAGTCCAACTTATTTAAAATACACATACAAATACATATAACAATAAAAAGTGAAAAACGTGTTTGAAGGCTAGCAACAGGTAAAAGTCATAAACTTTGCTCATTCGTCAAAAATATTTTTGTTTTATTTTTTACCTTTTTTAAGGCATTTGTATGTATGTATGTATATCAAGCACCTCAGCACGCCTTTTCAAATACTCTTCCATTTCTACAAGTTTTGGTTTTTGTGGTTTGGGTATAATTCACATGCGAAAATTCACTAAAAGTAGGATGTATGTATGTATGTGTGAAGTGCGAGTG